CATTTGACAATTGTAAGGATTTTTGAAAATCTTTCTTAATCTTACGAATACTTAACGATTAATTTATATATATTTGAACAATGCTACATGCGAATATCATTAGTCGTATTGAGATTTACCGAGGAACTTGTTACACAGTGATGAGTAAAGATGAAAATCCACTCGTGTGTCATATGGGAAACTACGCAAATTTGAAATATGCAACTAAAATGGGTGAAACCAACAGGATGTAGATGATGCAGAAACAATATTCAAGTGTTGAATTCAAATAAAATTTCTACCTGAATGACTCAAACATGCTTTTTATGAAATGCGCTTATTCTCAGACACGTGCTGAAGCACTGACTTGAAATCTGTGTTAAAATTTTGAAACTTTTCCATAGGCTCACTGCTGCAGGTGTTTACTTTGATTTCCGAGTAGTCAACATCAGTCTTGCTTTTTGTATCCGACTGTTTTTGTCTCTAACATGCTGATACATTCCGCGGGGAGTTGAAACTGTATCACTAAAGTAATTGAAAGTGACGACATCCTCCAAATTTATTCCACGGAAGGTGATTGGTGCTTGTTGTTGTTGTTGTTCCTGACTGGATTTCTTTATCACCACTGTCTTCTCTGCGTTCACCTGAATTTCTCTCATGAACATCACCCTCCACATGTCGACATATGTAAAGTGGTAGTTTCTGCTATCTCCGAAAATTATCAAAACTAAAGAGAGTTGAGGCTAACTACTAATCTCTTATATAGTACTAACGACCAATGAATGTCTTTCAAAGAGAATGTGAATATTGACAGCAGAGCCTCTTCGTAGCCAAAAAACCATTTCCAACTAAAACTCACATGGTTTGTGAGCGAAACCTCGTGGTCAGAACGTACGTGCCAGATAGAATTCCAAACGAATCTATCCAACATGGTTAACCACAGCATTGGATGTTCCGTTAATAGCGATACTCTAAACGTGGTATGAACCTTAGAAAAATCTGTAATGATCAAGGCCCGGCAGTTTATAACAGCTCTTTTAAAAGGCGATGGTGAGAAATTAGACAGAGAACTAACTGGATTTTTCAGGAATGTGAGAATGTTCTATGAAACTGGAGTGAAGATATTATTGAGCCAGTCTCTGCAATGGACCTTCGTAATGCAAGTTACAACTATCGTGATATTATTCTGCTATCGGCTGCGTCTGTTACATTGACTAATGTCCTGCTGCGATCAGATGCGGTCAAACAATTTCAGAAATTCTCTTTATTATTGTCATAGATGTTATTCTTGAGGCAGCTTTGAATTATGAATAATGTCAATATGGATCTGCTAATTAGTGGAAGGTGTTTCGTCCTGGAGGTCATTACTTTCACTGGCTTGATACTGAAGATCAGATGGCTGGTCAAAAAGACAAGCAACAAGGAACTCTGGCAACAAAGCTGCCAAGAACCTATTACCCAACCAGAAAATATGCCGAAGAAAATGGTGATGGGTAGGACAGACTCTGAGGGGAAGGTTGAGTGATATCATGCACCAGACAGACAATCGACTGGAACGTGGATAGGAAACAGCGACTTGGGCATGGCTCCTAGGATGATATGGAGGAGGTCGTCTGATTGGGGAGATACAAGCTTATGGGCAGTTGTGGGGCAGGCTAAACAGGATTGCAAGGACTGGATGAAATGGAAATGTGCCGTCTAAGCCCTATTTTCCACTCGGAACCTAAAACAATTATGTATATATAATCATTCCGGATGGTATGAGAGTTGGGGTTAGAAAAAAAATCACACATACTAAATATGAATCTCCTTAAGTAAAGAAATCAGCCAACCAGTCAACAATGAACAGACGTTACCTTCATTAAATTTTATTACATGTTTATTCATCATTTCATCAAAATAAGTGTAGTACATTACAATTATACTAGTAGAAATAACTTGATGTCTTAGTCGAGGGGATCCAATCAGTATAGCGGACAATATCCTGGTCCATTGAAAGGCTTCACATTCCAGTCGAATCTTGAAAAAAAGAGATAAAATTTAAATCCACAATTATGTTTACATACTTTCAAGACATTTTCAACTCGACTCACTAATGAATTACGTGCACTGAACTAAGTGTAAGATTCTGTCTTCAAAATACAATGAGAACAACTAAGACTATGATGGAAGTGTACATCTTCATTGTCATCATATTTATCGTCTTGCTTCCGTGAGTCTAGAATCACCACCATTCAATATGTAGAAGACACGTCTAATTTCACTGAGGTTTCTATGTATGGACATCCAATAGTGAATTTAGATCTTAACCCTCGACGGATGAGATCCGAGAGGAACTTTGTGCTCATTGATGAAGACATGTGGATACATGCGATGATGTGACGTGATGCATGCTATTCAGTGCACAGCATATTAATGCACACTTCCAATTTCACTCTCCGAATAAGCAAAACTTAAGAATCATCGTGTGATATAACTAACAATCAGTCACTACACAACCAAAATTGGTATACTTCTCCTGACACCACAATATAATTATAAGATTAATGAAATTATGTAACTCACGTTCTCATTCGACAGTATAAATCGTCCAGTCTCTTTGAGAAATAGGTGAAGTCACGTGAGTAATGATACCAGAGGCTTTCAGCAGCTGCAGCTATTGTTGGCCTTTATGTGATAGTAGATAGAAATGAAACTGGCTAGTGAAGACATTCACATCACAAGTGAAACATTCAAACATTTTAATCTGTTATCACTCAGTTACCTAATGACTATTATGCAGATGAAATGCATACTACTCCAATTCCATCAATATTACTCAGAATGCTTAAAGTCTTTGGAAGTGGAATTCAGAATTGGATTAACTAACATTTAATTGGACAATTAAAACAATTAGTCCCTTTGATAAATTTGAATAAGGCATTAAGAAGACAAATTTCGCGAGATGATATCATTTCGTAGTTCCCCTTAATGAAACTGTTGATTTCATTTGCGATTACATCACAAGCAATGAAATAAACTTACCTATTCCTGTAACTTACATCAGAGACATCATCTTAATGTGTACAGAAAATATTAGATTCACCTTTCAAGAAAAGGCATACAAACAAATCGATGGTGTTGCTATGGGGAGCCCTCTTGGGCCCCTCTTAGCAGATATATTCATGTCGAAATTGGAGAAACAAATGCAAGGTATGCTTGGAGAATTTATGCTGTATAAACGTTATGTAGATGATACTCTCATTATTGGTAATAATAGTAAATCTATTGAAAACTTTATTACTCTATTTAATCATATTCATCCAAATATCCGAGTGACTTCCGAACGCGAATCGAATAACAAACTCGGTTTCCTCGATATTACAATGACCAGGAGAGATGATGGTACGATTCAGAGATCTATTTTTCGTAAACAGACATGGAGTGGACAATATCTTCATTTTACCAGTTTTGTTCCTATCCAGTATAAACGTTCCCTAGTGAAATGTTTGTTCTCAAGGGCCCGAAAAATATGCACGAGTGACACAGTGATGGATGAGTTTCGACATATACATTCAGTGTTATTAGCTAATGGTTATCCGGAAAATTTTATCACTTGTCACAGTAAAGAAAGACCACATCTCGAAAAGACAGCTTCGGTACCAAAGAAAGCTATCTTTATTAACCTACCATTCAAGGGTGATCAGATTATGCAGTTGACAGCTCAAAGACTTCGGTCAGCCATCAAAACTACATTCTACGCCGCATCTCTTTTTCTCACTTGCCGAACATTTTCAATCCCTGTACCTACGACTAAAGGACGAAATTCTGTGGACTCTAATTCAAACTGTATCTACAAGTTCACCTGCAGCTGCGGTGACACCTATATAGGTAGAACCAACAGAATGTTCCAATGTCATCGTTGGCACAGTGGTTAGGACTCTCGCCGACCATGCACATGGTCCGGAGTTCGATCCCCTGCCGACGCACATCCGATATCTGTGGTTGGCCTGCGAAATTTGGGCTACCGATATCCATGCTGAAAATGCCATACTGGTACTGAAAAGACGGTGTGGCATCAAGCTGTAACCAAAATATAAAAAATATAAGAACATGTCCCAAAATGGCTACTAAATCATATAGAAAATCCCAATGCCAGTAATCTGAATAGAAATCCAGCATCATCCATTCCAAAACACTTATTAATGTCAGGTCACAAAATCAATATTAATGACTGTTTCACAATTATTTCACATAACTCTAATTCAAGGTTATTGAAGGTGATGGAAGCACTTTGGATTAATCACATACAGCCTAAACTGTTTGTACAAAAATCAATAGACTTCAATCTTCGCCTACCCTGGACTACTTGACCTATCTAAATATGATTGGTCATTAGTATGTACTTTTGATTTATTTAACTGAGTAATTGTCATGACCTTTATTTTATTATTGTTAACCATGTTAGTTGTAAAGCGGTTGTAAAGAAACTACGAAATGATATCATCATCTCGCGAAATTTGTCTTCTTAATGCCTTATTCAAATTTAATTGGACGATAAATTTTATCAGTTTATAAAGATACTAATTGTTGATGTATTCCATGTATGTAAAGGTAGTGTCTCAATAGCGTCCCTTACCTTTTCTCTAACTGATTCTATTAGCCCTGTTTGAAAATGTCTTTCTTCTATCCTAGTAATTGTGTCTAGTGTAAAGTATCTGGTTTCCGAAATATTTCTGTATATGAGCATCCTTTACATTATGGAAGAGCTTAGGTACAGGTCACGGAAATTATCAGTATCAGTATTTAGTATTTTCTCTGGATGCTAATGATGGTGGCAGTTTCACTTCTGTCCTAATCACTACCTGAATATTTCAGTAATCCACATCAAAATGTGAGATAATTAGTTGAATCAACAGTCATGTAAAATTGTCTGTTCATTCGTCCGTCTACTGTCGAGCAACTTTCCAGTTATCTCGAGACTGAATTTACTTCGTCGTATTGTTATGACATTAGATTTGCTATAAAATGCTAAAAGTCACTTACCAGGATTCTATGAAGAGATTGACATCATCCACATATGTTCCCCAGATGATGACTTCTCCACCAATCACCATTTCAACTTCTTCATCGGTACCTTAGAGGAAACCAAAAAAATATAAGGTGAACTTATCGACACATCAGAAACCAATGTGAGAGGAAAATATTGATGAGTTACCCACGAGACTTTCAACTACTCATTTACGTCTACTTTCTGGGGCTAAGTGAGTGTCAGTATCACTTTTACTATCTAGTCATGAACGACATGAGTTGAGGAGAACTCAATTTGTCCTTGTAAGATGGTCTTACACTGAAGCTCTCAGAATTTCAAATCGGTAATTTTAGTTTCAGGTGTGAACAAGACTTGCGTAGACTGATTCAGTCCCATAGACAACACTGTGGAATCGAATATTACCTATCTTGTTATCCGTTCCCCTTCCAATTACTGTTGGTCGTTTCACATCTTGTTGATTTCTAAGGAATTTGTTTGTTAAGACTTTCTAGCATAACTCAACCTCTTCTCTTCCAGTTTATAACCTTATGTATTTTAACCATTTTTCTTTATTATTTTCACTTATTCTTCCTTGGATTTCTCAGTAAGGACTATGTTATTATTACGTAGAACTTTGAAGTCTGTATTCAGAAATACTGATGTGTTATTGATCCAACTAAATGAAATTGTTGTTGACAGGCATTTTAATTCTTGCAAGCAATTGTCTGAAGTCCACATGGCGGATACTAAACATCCTACTTATTGACAATTTTCTCCTGATATCCCTTCAGGTAAAACCAGAAGAAATTCCAAAAGAATTTATGCTTGTACGCCTATATATATATAAATCCAATCATACCAAATCTAGCATGTGTTTTATGTGAAGAAACAAATGTTGGAACAGAGCTTACAAGCTTACTTAATAGTCTATCGTAATTGAGAATATATGCCACTCGATTTTCTCCTCCCCTTCATATTTCTTAATATTAGGAATTCGATTATACTAAAAAATAAAAAAATTATGTACGAATGTACAGCCTAGATGATGACTTCATCGAAAAGAAAATTTTCTTCGCTGCGACTGTCTTCTTAATAACTCCTATGACCCAATATGTAAAACATTATCTTCCTATTTCAATGGATGATCCCCCAATTTTCAGTTGACTCCTACTTATAATGCTCACTGTCATGAATAACCACAATGATTTAGTCAGACAACGTCCAAACAATACACTGATTTACCTCCAAATTGTGATATATCACATTCGTAAAACTTCCTTGTATCTGTGACAACAGCTTCATTCAGATTCGACCAACAGGCTGAATTTATAACTCTGTATCCAGACGATGTGATAGATTTGACAAGATTTTGCCAATCGGACTCATTGTGTACGTGTATGACAGTGTTGGTGTTTCCCTATGAAATTAAAATTGACATGTTATGTGTAGTGTTCATTAAAGTTATCTATGTATCTGTGAACCGTTGTCTATTCATCAAACAGTTCATAGCCCTGAGGAATGCCTTCAAAGTACTGCTCACTGATCTAAGGATAAAACTTGGGCACTGTACTAGAGTATAATTCCATTATGGAGGAAATTTATTTTGATAAAATCACACAGTGCTATGCAGTAATATTAACTGATGACATTTCGATCACAATTTACTACGTTGATTACAAAATCTTTGTTCATAGAATCTACACGCAACACATGCAATAGGAATGGCTCACCACTCATACCAGGAATATGGAAAATATTACTACCAATCAAATCAAGAGATGATAAATAGTCGAACCATATAAACAAAGTTGGGAAGTTGTGTGAGTACCTTGTTATGATTATGAGCAATAAATTGTGCTCGAAACGTTATCAGTAAATATTATTGTATAACACTGTGTGAGTTTATCAAAATAAATTACAGTTAAATGTTACAAGCAAACATAAATATACGAAATATTCCCACACTGAGTCCACAAACATATTCTGGAACACTGTCCAGCTTGGCTAGCCAGAGGGGAAAAGAAGAATACTATTAGCTCCATCCTCGAACACCTTGTCAACTATGGACATCGAGTACCCCTACACGAATGTTTCACAGCGATACACAGAGTCCTTCAATACCCTACGAAAGGACTTCGAATACACCATCTGTGCATAGCTGAATCATTGGCAATTCGGAATCTGAAACCGGACCTCTACAATCAAAAGCATCACACACATTCACTCGTACTACCGTGGTCAGATTACCGTCCTCACTATAGTTTTGCTTCCTATCATTATGTAAGTTTATTATTATTATTCTCACCATCATCCTTATTTTATTATCACTGTACTACTGTTTATTAATAACACTGAGTTTTCATACAGATTTTATAAAAACACTTTATCGTCTTTCCACTAGTTCCTGTCCATTCTACACAATTATATTGATTAGTCATTTTCTCATACTTATTACGCCATCTCAACTTATCCCTCTTTTCTAATTTCCAATTAGCCACCCCTTCTAGGTTGCACCTTACGTTGCGTAATACGCTTTTGAGGACAAATTTTACCAGTATCTGATTGGCCTTATGAATTCTTCGTTAAATGTAATTACGATTGTACAGCTTATGAAAATAAAATTTTCTTAGCTGTTTACGTCTTTTTGAAACTATCAACCGAAGAGGACTGTCACAACTGATGTCATCATTCAAATAATAATCACGTTGATACGTCAAGAATCTCAGCGATATATGAGAAATATTCTGTTTTGGAAAACAGTCAGTGGATTTAGAAGTTACTCAAAACTTTTGAGAGGTTCAAGTGTCAATTGGTGTGCATATAAACTCGTCTCTACCAGTTTCGCATATTACTCAGTCTAACTCAACACTGCACTACTATACATAGTGCACTTCAAATTTCATTTCTGATTATCTTCACCTTTTCATAAAAGGTAGCTTTTCACAAGATTACTTGCTACAAGAATTCAAATTACTACGTAGATTTAACATTTACCACCCCTAATTGGAAATTCATATCAAAGGTTGTCTTCCAATGTATGACTGAATACTGCATGTTATACTTAGTAAAACTTCTAATGCAATAAATTCAACCTATACGTGTCATTGAGTGAGAAAGCTGGAGACAAAGTGAGAAGTAAACAGCACTCATCCACTCTGAAGTCAACTTACGCGATAACCATTTTCAAATACACTCTGCCACACAATCGGTGTGATAGTCGACTGTACATTTGCACCAATATTCTCAATGATTCCTGCAAGCATTTCAAAATAGTAGTTCTCCAGTTTATTGTAGTCCTCGTCAAATCCATTCCGCTTCATAAACTCTTGAATCTCTGCATCTTCTTGCCTAAATCATAAAAATGAAATCTGTCATACACACACTCAGACACAGACGCACGCACTTTGAATAGTCGAGGATAGCATAAGTGCAGAATATCACATTTAACCGAAATTATTGGCATTGTCATGGTAGGAGGCCATGTAGAGGTGATGCTAAGCTAATTCATTATAGAATATAAGATTACTGAATGATCTCAGTGGAGGACAAACTGTAGCCTATTTTCGACTGTGTGATGCTCACGATGTCAGTAGTTTCAATTTCTGCCATTTGCATGTACAATTTAGGTGATGGATGAGACGGTGATTGCTTCACTTGTCGCCACCATTCTTCTCATCTTCCCGGAAACAATGATCTCACAGATGGTGATGTGAAACTTATCAACAAGCCAGTGGTATAAACATGTAGTTTCCACTGTCATCTTTCTTGCTGTGAATTAAAGGTTGCTGTATTCAGGGATTACAGTCGAAGAAATAAGGAGAATCTCGCATCTCCACTAATGTTAGCCAACAAATGGAAATCATGGATTCATTAAGACGATAATATTTTCCAGACCACCTCATATATAGCCGTAGTTCGATTGGCAATAACGATACCTATAGAATATGTCAATTAATAGACTATTATTTAATCGCCTAATTTACTAGTTCACTAGTCTTCTAGCCGGTTCAAATCCTGGGCATGAAGGGAAGGTTGTCTGTCTGTCTGTCTGCATTCAACATAAAACTTGGCACCGAAGTGCAGCAGTTCGAGTTGCCACGTTCCAAATAGCACACAAAGGTAGACAAGAAAATGAGTGAGGAGAATCAATAGACTTTTCACAAGTATAAGAGTGAAACAGAATGAGTAATGGTAGAAAGGAATATGAAAGATTACAGAGACTGAATACATACAACGATTTTGAGCCATGTCACCTATTGTCTCCAGCCATTGATTCTTAGAGACCCGAGGGCCCCAACCCTGAAGTCTGCATCTCCCTACCTGACTCAGTTTAACTGTCAAGGATTTCGTGGATTGATGTCATGTTTTTGTTTGGCCACCGCTTACTCTTTTCAACCTGCACCTATATCAGTTAGTAATGCCTGTCGGGGGACGCGATGGTTGGGCATGCGCAGCACGTGACCTAGCCATCTCAATCTATGTAACTTTATAGCCTCTTCGATTGATTTTCCCTTTTTGACCAACACTCTACATCTGACGTTAACATTACTTACCTTATTATGCCACCTAACGTGAGAAAGAGATCGTAAACATCTATGATCAAAAACAGACAACCTTTTCATGTCTTCAACTCGTATTGGCCATGTTTCAGAGCCATAGAGAAGGAAGGAGCGAACTGCTGAGCAGTACACACGTCCCTTGGTTGATAGTCGGATGTAACGCCTACGCCAGAGATGGTGTAAGTTAGAGAAAGCAGCCCGAGCATTTTGGATCCGTGATGAGATTTCGTCACCAATCAATCCGTTGGTGCTGATACAACTTCCCAAATAGGTGAAGTGGTCAACATGTTCTATCACTTCACTCCCTAGTACTAAGCTAGGAGTTGACGTAGTCCAGTCCTGTAGCAGCATCTTAAATTTTACAGGGGCGAATCGCATGCCAAACATACGAAGATTGCTGCTCAAGGTGTTCAGAAGACTCTGCATTTTGTCAGCATGCTCCCCTAATAGGACTATGTCATCTGCATATTCTATGTCCATAAAACTATTCCCTGGTAACAAATCGATTCCTAAGTCGTTAAGTTTATTTAAGGATACTTCCATTAGCATATCTATGATGAAGTTAAACATAAATGGGGAAAGTGGACATCCTTGACGGACACCACTGGTTGTTATCAATTCAGATGACAATTCCCCATAAGCCCTTACACGGCTACGTGAGTTTGCGTAGAGTGCCTTGATTAGTGCAGTGTACTTTCTTGGCACTCCCTTCATAGTCAAACATTGCCATAGTACCTTTCGATCCACAGAGTCGAAGACCGCCTCCAAGTCAAGAAATATGGCAATTGTTGGACGCCGAAAAGTGTGTCTGTGTTCTAGGATCCGTCGGAGAGTGAAGATATGATCTATGCACCCTCTATCTGGCATGCGGCTGGCGGCCCTAACCTGAAAATTAGCTTAGCGGCTACGGAGACTTCAACGTACAACAGAAATACAAATAAAATCTAATAATTATTTCCAGGAATAGGGGTGATGGAATGATGCGGGCTGGTGAAAACCTTCGAGAAGCAAGTCAGCCAATATATCTTCTTTCGATGAAAAGAAAAATAATCACAGGGACGTAGAATATTCGCAAAATGTACGAAACTGAGAAGGCTACCCAGGTTGTCAAAGAAATGTGAAGATACGGCATACAAGTGCTAGGAATCTGTGAGAGTAGACAGAATGCATGTGAACTCTCCAGTTTGTTAACTGGAGAGTCAGTAATCTACTGCGGTCACCTAGATGACAGCCACAAGAATACTGAGTGTCCGTCATGATGCTATCAGCAGCAGCCAATGCTCTTATACAGTGGGAACCAATCTTCAAACCTGATTATTACAACAAGATTCAACTCAAAATTAAGGAAAGATATAGTCATCCATTGATAAGCGCCTACAAACAACGCAGAACAAGACAAGAAACATTTCTACAGATAACTTCAAAAAGTAATGGATAAAATCCTAAATGGTGACGTCAAAATCCTAATGGGAGATGTGAATGCTAAACTGGAAACAAACAGCACAAGAATGAAAATAATCATGGATCGAGAGGCTGTTGGAGAAATGAATGAGAACGGAGAACTCTTTGTAGACTTCTGCGTCTTCAGTGATTCGACGATTGAAGGCATCGTGTACAAGCACGAGGGCATGCACAAGGTGACATGGATTTCATTTGACGAATACACCACAAACCAGATAGACTTCATCCGCATGTTGCTCAAGAAAGTGGAGATGCAGCTAGCCTGTTGAACTCAAAGTCGAGAAGGGGAGCAGATGTGGGCTCAGACCATCATCTAATTCAAGAAACCTTCAAGGTGCAGTTGAAATCCTTCAGAACAACTGGAGGCATGCTATAATTCATGTTCAACACTCAGAAACTGAAGGAAAAGACTATAAGGGATGCCTTTGCTACAGATATCAGAGCAAAGTCGGAGACACCATGTGACATAACTGAGGAAACCTGTGTAGAAGAACATTGGAACTCTCTGAAGGTGAGTATCAAGGAGACGTGTACAACAGTTCTAAGAAGAAAGAAGAGTTACGACAAGAAATGGCTTTCAACGGACACCTACCGGGAAGCTAATAGAAGAGAGGAGGATGGTGAAAGAGAAGATGACTCAATGCAAAGATGGACAACAGAACGAGGAGCTAAGTTCAGTGTACATCTCACTGAATAAAGAAGTGAAGAAGAGTGCTAAGAAAGACAAAAGACAATTCTACAACACACTGGCAACTGAAGCAGAACAGGTCGCTTGCAAAACAGACCTCAGAACATTATATCAGATAACCAAGTCTCTGTCCAGGAAGAGATCAACCCAGATGATGAAACCAATAAAAGATGTTCAATGGAACCCAATTAACAAGGAGGAGAAACAAATCAAACAGTTTTCTAATCACTTCAAAGGACTCTTGAATCGACCATCACATGCAACTCGTCCAGAACTACCACCATCACCACCCACAGAACTGCCAGTGGACACCAGTGCGATGAAAAAGGAAGTTACTGAAAGCCGGCAAGACATAAGGGTCAGACGAAATTCCTCCGGAAGCACTGAAAACGAATCCAGAGACCTGGACGAATATGCTGACGCCACTTTTGTGAACATTTGAAAGGAAGGAAAGGTTGGAAGAAAGGCTACCTTGCCAAAATATCAAAGAAGGGAGATTTAGACCTCTGCAAGAACTGGAGCAGAATCGTGCTTCTCTTTAAGCTGAGCAAAATATTAAGTTGTGTCATTCTGGAGAGAATAAATGATGCTTTGAATGCAAAACTCCGCCCGAAACAAGCTGGATTCAGGAAAATGAAATCATGTTAGGATCACATTAAAACTTTATACATCATCGAACACAGCATAGATCGGCAGTCAAATCACACTTTGAAAAGACCTTCGACAGAGTTGACCGCGAAGTAATCTGGGAACTACTTAGACACTTTGGAGTGCTGCAGATCTTTATCAACCTCAGTGAACAGCTATATGACAATGCCACATGTCAAGTGATCTACAATGAAAAACCCATCAGAGGATTCAGACAGGACTGCCAGTTTTCATTGACCATATTTCTAATTTGTGCGTCGGTGGTATAGCGTTAGCACGCTCGCCGACCATGCACATGTTTCGGGGTTCGATCCCCGGACGATGCACTCCTTTACCTCGCTGAGCCAGAAATAATGCTGGTGAAGAGGAAAGGTTGGGTATGAGGCTAGCAACCCCATCCTGTAAAAAATAAACACCACTGCTACAGAAACTTCAAGCCACTGGCTTGAAACCATATGTTCCACTGGGGGACGTGAAGGAAAAAATGATATTCCTAATTTTAATAGATTGGATTATGCGTCAGACTGTGCAGAGCGAGAAGACAGGAATACCTTGAGCCGATAAGCAAGTTCTAGAAGATTTGGACTTAGAGAACGATTTACGTCTAATTTCACCCAAACTCAAAGACCTACAGGCAAAAAGCAACAAGTTGGCATAAGAAGTAGAGAAGACAGGAATTCAAGTGATGAGCATAGACAAGACAAAGGTGAAGAAGACCACCAACGAACAACGTCAAGCACTAATTGCTATCAACCAGAGAAATTTAAAAGAGGTAATTTCTCTCCCCTATCTAGGCAGCATCGTTTCAAATACAGGTGGATGATACAGATGAGGATGTCCAAATCAAGATCAGAAAGGCAAGACCAACCTGCGTCACTCTGCAGTCAGTTTGGAAATCTGCTGTGCTCAGCATAAATAAAAAATTCAGATTTTCAACACCAATATTAAGTTAGTCACTTCTTCTATATGGATCATAAACTTGGCTCGTCACGAAAAGCGTCTGCAGCAGGCTGCTTCAAACGTTTATCAGCAGCTAACCTTCTCTCCATACTAAAGACCAGATGGCAGCAATAAGGAACTCTTGGAACGAACCAATTAAAAACCCATTGCTCAACAAATATGCCCAATAAAAGGGAGGTGGATTGCGTAAATGCTGATGAGACCGTCGGGTGACGTGACACTCAAGGTGGACCTTCGAGGGGGACCTGAATGGGAAACTGCAAGTCGGGCGCCGAGAGTGACATGGCGGAGGTCGTGTGAGGATGGCATGAGAACTTATGGGTAATCTTAAAGTCAGCTAAACAGGACTGCAGAGAACAGGGTGAAATATAGATATGTTGCAGAAACCCCATGTTCCACTCTAAATCCAAGAGAACATTAATAATAGTGTACTTGATACGCGTAACATTATTCTATAATTCATGTGTGAAGTCACCATCCGGACTTATTATATGACACCTTATTTAGGCTTAAATCACAGACTACTTACGAAATCTAGTAGTATTTGGACAGTATCACAAATTACTACATGATAATAACGCTTACAACAGACATAATATTGTGCTATAAACAAGTGGACTGAAGATTCAGTGCATCAGTAAAATGTGAGACGCATGGCACAATATAATAACCACTCAGTCTCCACTTTAGATGCCTCATCAATATAAATACTCACGGAAACCAGTGAACTTACCACAACTGTCTGTCATACACACTGCCACCCAGATGTAGGAACTTATCGGGGAAAACACTCACAACCTCTTGAAACAAGTTTGACAGAATTGTACGAGTGTCTTCACTAGCTGGATTGATTGGTCCTTCATGTGATTCACCTGAGAGTATTTCCGGATGACTTGCCCCCCATGACAAAGTATGACCTGAATCAGAAAACGAAGTGACTTGTTGATGTTTGTTGGTATGTGGTAATAGTTGAAAAGGTGATTCCATAAAATCCACAGATGTTTGTACTGAGAAGGTCTGGTGAAAGGAAGAGTGGTGAGTCACCGGTGTGATTTCTGAAAGACATGATCCTGTAATGTACTGTAAACTGGAAAGTGATCATTTTCGATGGTCATCATAAAATAATTCGTAATGTGAGTTTCTACCAACATGAAGAACCAATGTTGTTTTCAATATGTGTTCGGATAAACTGAAATATTCGAAATGGAGATACAATAGCCCTACACATTTCAGTCACTGATGACATTCACAAAATTCGGCCTTTTCATTCTAAGAAGAGAACACGAAGTTCAGCAAAGGTCCCGAAATCTTCACTAACCACTTTGCTGCTCCATGAAATGGAGAGTTATACATGCCTAAAACTGGGCGAAGAGGAAGACCCGCTTTGTGCATTTTGGATAGACCGTAAAGACGTGGAGTGTTGATACCCGTTGGTTTCATAGACTCATACATAGCTGATGATAATACTCCTTTTAGGTTCAGTTTTTTGAGAGAGTCGATCATTAGTTTCTTCGTTTTTACATTGAGATCTTTGGAACTACCAAGAGATTGGAATTTAGTCTGATCATTCAAAATACAATCAATTTTCTCAACGTAGTCGCTTTTATCCAGTAAAACTACACTGCCAACTTCATGTGGAGTGCTAATAATTAAGCTTTCATTATTTCTAAGTTCTCTTAGAGCTTCTCTGTGTTGCTTCTACAACAGACTATTTACTGAATGTCTGTTATTTTTGTACTATTGGCAGCTGTCAACTAGCGTTTTAGCACGATTTCATTCACCAAATTGTAAATTTTGATACCACTCACTTTCACATGATTTGATTACTGATCTCGCTTGTTCAAACACTTACTTCGAATTTGATAGTAGTAATTGAAATCATTGAAAATTTGCTCAAATACTGAGCATTTTTAAATGAGCACAGTATTCAAAAGACTCCTTCTTACCAGGTGTATCAAACTCAACTATAACTCGAATTCCACGTAACCGAGCGAATTCTATCAACGAGTCAATTTCACCTCTTCCATACACATATTCGTGAGGATGGTATGCTCCCTGAAAAATCCAGAAACAAATGATGAATTATCTCCACAATAATCTCTTACTTTTGAAGACAATTCAGGATAAACGGAGGAATCATATGGAAAGGATTCATCGTCCGTCATATGCCAGTGCAACACATTCATCTTGACCATTGACATTGCAGCCTTGTTTTATTATAATCATCAATTTCAAGTCAGAGATGACAATTCAACTTACAATTAGATTTCTTATTGTGTCAGTGCTCAGATAATGTCTGGCTGTATCTATCATAACTCCACGGTGTAAAAATCGTGGTGAGTCATCTATGTTACACTCATAGATCTCATTCTAAATTCATTTTCAACACTTCCAAATGGAATTTACATGACTAGATATATCTTTCTGCACCAACTGGAAAAGAGTTTCTAAAGCATGTAGTGTTCCCCAAATTTCTTCTGAATGAATATTGACTGTGTCGTCTCTAATTTTCATTGAATCTAAAAAAAAGCCAATCGTATTCATTCGAAGTTCACATTTGTGTTCAACTCACATGACTCTTTCATCGATTCTGATGGCCACAGTTGAGTCTCTTCTTCATTACATCCTTCAGTGATCTCGATTTTCACCGACGACAGTGAACAATTCTTTGAGTATAAGTAACCAGGTGGTACGTGTTCCGTTTTTAATCTTGATACAAATCGTTTTATTGCTTCTTCCAGTATATAACATGAAGTATAATCATATTCAAAGTTCAACAGTCCATTCACCTTGCATAGTTTTCTGTGATTTGAAAGTATTTGCATATATGGTATTAATGCTGAAGAAATTACTATGAATGTTGCGAATATCAGTAACTTAGACATTATAATCATTGTAGAGATTTTTTAAAAGTTGAAATTCAGTTTGAAGGCAACAACTTCAAATGCGTAACTCCTCTGTATATGTTAATTTAATAATGGTGCGAATTTGAGAATGCATATCAACAGTACTGAAGGTCATTTTATAATGCACTGAATCTCTATTCGATTAGTTTGTGTGATTTATTTATAAAAGAGGTTCAAATGTTCAACTGAATTTTTTTATTGATCGTCGTTAAAAACAACACTTGTGTTTGTTTTTATGTATAAATACACTACACGGATAAAGCATACGATGTCGAATCGCTTGCCTTTGAAGTAATGCAGCTTACTCAGCATACATGCCATGTCAATATCTTCATGGAATCTTTATAGACTGTATATGATGTCAATAACAGCTTGTATTGAAATAAACATGAGTAACCTTTCTAGAGACGCCTCGTAATCGCAAATTTGCAGTACAATTTATCTTCTTTCCTTACAGGGGAATATTGTGTTAAGCGTAGCATAAGGTTACATTGAAAAATTTCATTGAATTAGATGATAGTTGTTTTTATTGTAATTAAAGCTTGTTTTCAGAGATGCTGTTACAATGTCGATGGATTTCTTATAAGACTGCAGCTGTTTTTACTTCAGCATTCTAAATTAGTTAACACTAAAAATTCAAGCCAGTCTACGCTACTGTAATTCACTTTGCATAGTTCTGTTAAAAAGCATAACATGTTTGATTAATCATCTAATTATAACGTTACACACGATTTTTCATACTATTTATAATTGTTATCTATTAGCGCAAGACACTGGCTAGGGGTCACGCTGTGTCGTGAATTGGGAGAAGTTAGGATTCATGGGCCATTGGATCGGGTCCCAGTGGCCTAATGGTATACGAGCTCACTAGCCTTGTAACCAGAAGGTCCTGGGTTCGAATCTCCTGTGGTGGGTGCGTACTGATGAAGAGTCCCAAACTAGGACGAAACAGCTGTCCAGTACTCCCAGGTTTTCCAATGATTCTTTAACTAATGTCAGCTCATGATGAAAATCCTGTAACCAATTTTATCTTTATTTAAATAACCAAAAAAAATTCTCGAAGTGCAAGTGTTTGTCATAACGCTCAACGTTTCATGAGTCAGCAGCTTTCCTTTCTAAAATGTCTAGGGAGACTCTTTCATCTTACCTGAGACTTTCTTAAGAGTAGGATCAAAAATGTATGCAACAACAATAAAGAATAGGGACTAAGATCAAATGACCTTGAACCAACGAATTAGGTTGCTCAGCATTACAAATGGATGCTTTTCATAATCTTTGCTGTAAATTTCATCCTGATTCAGAGTTACGGTTAGGATAGGATTAAGGTTAGAGTGGAACTTGCTATGAAGATTAGGATTGAAGTGAAACTTGAAAAGGAGATTAAGGTTAGAGTGATACTTGCAATGATGATTCTGAAAAACATCCATTTATTTCATACATTTGGTTCTCTTGATGAATTTCGATAAAGAAAGGAAGACGAAATTTGCAGTATAAAATGATATCATTCTATTTCACGGGTTCTCATCAGCTGTAGACTACCTGAAATTACAATGGTTATATAGATGATAATAACATACTTTAATGTTTGAGTGGTAGTAGAGAAGAAATAATATAAAATTGACGCATCCAAAATGAAAGCATTTACAATTTTTTAGTTTAAGTTCTCATCATCAATTTATACGCTTTTAAAGTTGAAAAGAGGGGGGAGGGGGGTAAGACAGAAAACAGAAAAAATTGATTAACAGAATAGTGTTAGCTTGTAGGTTCACATAGCGACTCAGAAAACAAAAGCGGTTACAGTTTATGAGATTAAGATTTGTTCAGTGAGTTGAGATCACTGAATTAGATGACTAATTAATGTAATCAAAATCAAAATTCAGTTACCAAAGGAGTGAGAGATTAATCACACTCTCTTTCTGTATGCATTAGTTTGGTTTAAATCGTTTGATTGCGATCGCTTCGGCAAATTGTAGTAAATTTGCTGTCTTTTATCTATTTAATATTTTGAAGGACTTAGAAATCTCTACGAGATGTCCGGTATCAACAATATGTCTGGTAATTGCACTCTGAGAATATTTGCTTCCTTTTAGGCACAGGTTTCTTGGAATATGTTCAGAAAACCGGACAGAAGCCCTTCTTTTTGTCCTTCTAATGTACTTGCTCCCGCAAGTGCACGTAAATTCATAAAAGCAGTGGGAGTTGACATCAGCAGGGTATTTATCCCGTTCTGAGTGGCTTACAGAAGGAGTGGTGCTGTATATTGTTATGAGTTTTGCTGTCGGGAAGCTTCTATTTATTGCACCTTTCAGTCTTTTGTCAATCTTTTGTGACAGTACACCTCCTTTGAATGGGAGACAAATAAACACTCTTTTCTTTTCTACAGTTGGGTGTTTTTCTTTCTTATCTTTTTCTATGCTATACTTCTGTATAAATCCTTTATAGAATCCATTTTCTCTCAGGCATTTCTCGACAAAATTTAATTCTTCTTCTACCTTGTTTGGTGAACATAGCTTCCTGGCTTTGTCGTACAAAGTCCTCACTAATCCACGTTTATAGCTTATGGGACAAAAGCTGTTATAGTGAAGATATTGTCCAGTCCAGGTTTCTTTTCTATGGATGAACTTTTCGATCATAACTTCGTTTGTTCTTTTTACATTTAGATCCAGGAAATTGAACTTATTATTGTGTTCATATTCCATGATGAATTTGATGTTTGTATGGGTCTTATTTAGCCGATCATACAGTGCCAATGCGTGATCCATGTCGTTGCAAACAAATGTGTCATCAACATATCGGCGATAGTAGGTTGTTCCACTGATAGCAGAACCTACTTGTGTCTGTTCAAGCCCATGAAGATATCAGCCAGGATAGGTCCCAGAGGCGAACCCATCGTGACCCCATCAATTTGCCGGTCAAGTTGATTGTTATAATGCTGAACGATCTGATTGGCTGGTTCAAGGTTATTTGACTTTTGTGTCTGTTCTTTGCTTTGCGCATAACACCTTTTTTCAATACTTCCCAATTTCCAGTGATTCCTCATTTGATATACAGTTTAATGCGAAATATATATTTGAAAATTCGGAAGTCATTTTGTAGATTTTTATTCAATCTCTTTATTTAACCCTAATTAGAATGACCTAGCATACTGAAATGACAGTAAGATAAATCGATTGTAGAATTTTTTCACTAGATGCGCCAGCTTGCTTAAAGTTATGCACAATACCTGAATTTAAAATCACTTTATTAAGGTTATTTTACAAATGAATAATTGATTAAAAATGCCCATTAAAATTTTTCAAAAGAATGGATACTGAACAAAGAGTACTCTTTTCGATAAATTTATCATCAGGCTCTACAGTATATATACATTATAGTGAACGAATGAATTAGTGTTATGAACAACATTAATGTTTAAATAACACAGAATCAATAATATTGATAGATTACAGCTCATTAGCATCAACATAAATTAAGCTGAATGTCAGAAAAATTAGAAAAGATATTATTACAAATTCATGAATTTATT